CGAGCGTCGTCGGTGTCGTGGCCGCAGAAGTGAAGGACGCAAAGTAGTTCTGGCGTCCTGAAGTCCTTTTTAGAGACGCGTGTGCGCTGTCTAGCCAGCTCCAGCCAGCTCCAGCCAGGCGTAGTGCCGGGGGAGTCTCGGGACAGCCAAATGCTGCTGAAAACAGTGTTTGGAAAAGCCAAACCATAAGTGAATTTTCTGCGTCCCTGTTCACTATGAGGAGTTCTTGGGAGGCTTCTCTGAAGAATTTGACTTTGTAGGAAGGTGCATTAGAGAACCAGTGTCCTCTGGTCTCTCTGGTGGCTCACACTGCAGTGTGTGAAGTGAAAAAAATAACAGAGAAAGCAAACAAAATGGGGATTAGCAAACGGGCACGGCCAGGCGGTATTTACCGAAGCATCCAAAATTACTTGAGGGCAATTGTACTATTAACTATAGTAAGCTCACCCTTAGGTGAAATGGCTTTGGTGCTAGAAGACTGGAATGTAGGAAATGTGATACCAGAGGGAAGTAAGAGAGAGAAAACCTGATGTCTTCCCCAGGAAAAACTGATAAAATTTATAATAAAATAATGGGATTAGTGAGTACAAGGAGATTTACAATGAGAAAGGAGGACCATATCTTTTTTAAAGGAAAATGATGCTGCACAGCTGTATTATGCAACTCGCACAGCTCAGAAGCACAGGCATTGCTATATGGTTGTATAAATTGGTGCTGTTCTGAAATCTTCCGTGTGCAATCCTCATTTCTTCATCTGAAAATAACGCAGCAGAAATGGAAAAATTGTAGAGATGCAAAACAAGGATGCTGCATGATTTCCATATGAGAAGTGGCTATTTAGACAAAGACTTATCAGCCTGGAAGAGGAATGACGGAAGGCAGATGTGCTAGAGGTCTCTAAAATCATGAGCGTGTGGAGAAGGTGAACGCAGAGCGGTGCGTTCCCAACGAGAACTAGCAGGCACCAAATGAAACTAGCAGATGGGGTCTTCTCGGAAGAGATGTTTCCACATTGCGCCTCATCAGGCTGTGGAAGTGCATTCAGAGTGCTGGCAAACCATGTGGTTTCTAGAAGCAAATTCAGCAAATTCGTGAAATCCATCTTAGGACTATAAAAAATGCACAAAACCGCCTTTGCGTCAGTAAAGCCTTGAATTGCAGATTGCTGGACTCTGAGAACGTATAGTGAACACTTTGGGTTTTTCTTTTCTTTCGTTCTTTCTTCAGTCGTCTCCCACTGGAGAGACAGTGCTGACCTAAAAAGGCTTTGGTGTGGTCCATTATGCCCATTCTTACTTTCATGGTCAAGTTCAAAAGTTAAATCTTGACCCCTAGGAGTCTACCAAGCAGATGGCTATACCAATGCTATTTAAGATATCTTATTCTAGTATATAATATTTTAGCTTTGATTCAGTTTGTTTAATTTCCAGGGCATTAATATGACCCTAGATCTATGGCATGTGTTGAGCACAACCTCTTGGGTGCTCCATCTTCTGAACCTGTGACAGACTTCCTCTCACCTATGTATTCAATATGTGAATAAAGTGACCAATCAATCTATGTATATGTGTTTGTGTGTATTTAGTTATCCTTTGTGCTTCTGTGAGTATGTTACATAGCTCTTTGCTAGGCAATAATGAAATATTTTTACAAAGGTTCCTAACCGTGACTCAAGGAAAAGGGAGTCTAGTCTTAATGCTCTGTCTATGAACACCATTGGTCTGAAGGCAATTCCAGAAGCAGAGGTAGGGCAGATTTAAATGTACGCTGTCAGACAGATTCAGTTCTCAATGCGGTTGGAGATAACCTTCTGTTCGGTGAGAGCTCTGTCGTGTATGGGGATATAGGAATGATAACATTGAAGAGGCAGCATTTAATCTCTGAAACTCTGGCCCCCCTGAAATTAATGGGAGTCTTGTCACTGAGTTAGTGCTTCCTTAGATTCAGAACCATTTCTAAATTAGTGATTATGGGTAGAATAAGTAGCTGTGGGCTTTCAGCTGGAGTTTGGAAACACACATAATGAAACTGGGGTGTTCAGGAAATTAGCAAGCAGATCTAACTGTTAAGCATGTATAAATAACATTAGTTCAAAACTGGACACACCCACACATTCTCTTTTTATTCGTATGGGATAGGAAACTGTCTAATGTGAGGCAGCTGAGATAGTACCACCCTAAGAAAACGGTGGTACTATCTTCACCATATCCATGCAAACTACATGTTTTTGTGAATAGTTTCCAGCTGTGTCAGTGGGATAATTCAACTCAATCCACATAACCAAAGCTGACACAAACAACAGGATCCTACAGCCAGCAGTTTTAATAAAAGTAAAATCCGGAGAGAGGAAAAATTCAGGATAATTAAAATCCATCAATCTGTACATATGTGTCCGGGCATAATACTTAATCTAGCATACAAGACTGAAGACCTTCAGTAAAAAAACCACAGGCTGTGTTTGAGCCTTTAACTGAAAAGTAGTAGCAGGTTTTATAGACTCCAAAGGGAAATATGCTGAAATGTACAGTTATACCTGTATGTTCTGATTCTACAGCGGTAGAGACAATGAAGAGTAGGGGCTGCAAGAAGCTGGTACAACTCATTGTTGGAGCAGACTAGGACTACTCATGGGAACACTGGACTTGGGATACCCACTTTTTTTATTACAGAGACAAATACATACAATGCCAAAAGTATCTTGTGAATTTACAGTTTTGTCTTAAACTGTTGAAGTTTTGACCTCACAGTTACTTCAAGCTTTACAAGAACTTCATTCTTGGATGGTGACAAAACTTCAAAATTCCACTGGCAGTTAATAGCTGTCTGTTCTTGTGCCAATATTGTCTTGTCAGTTCCTTCTTAGCATTTATTGTCCTGTAGTACTTACAGAAAGCAGCAATATATTTTTGCAGCTGTTATTTTACCAGTTTGAATACACGGTCTTGTTCAATATCTTTATCAATGATCTGGATGAGGGGATCGAGTGCACCCTCAGTAAGTTTGCAGACGACACCAAGTTGGGTGGGAGTGTTGATCTGCTCGAGGGTAGGAAGGCTCTGCAGAGGGACCTGGACAGGCTGGATCGATGGGCCCAGACCAATTGTATGAAGTT